AAAACATCTGCAGTAAGTTCTGTAGAAGGTGCAAACAGAAGAAAGTGGAGGATAAAGAAGATAAATTTAATTTAAAACCCATGAAAACATTTCTAGGGAGTCAGGCTGAACATCACCATTACGCACGGTACCTCACCTGCCATTTTGTAGTCACCTAAGACAGATGAGAAGTCCTTTCCTTATATTCTCTTTCCTCTCCGCTTTTTGCCACCACATTTTTCATGTCCTCACGATTTATTTTACCCAGATACAGCCTGCAGGTTCTTGGCTATTTTTTTCAATCAGATATTTTTGAGGAAAAAAAAAAAATAGTTTTTTAGATGGAAAATACTTGGATTTTTGTCCAAACCAGATTCATCCTTCCTTTCTATTTAACTGAAAGCAAATGTAAATGCTTTTTTAAGGAAGGAGGAGGAGGAAAGGAACCCACTAGAGCTTAGAGAAATCTCGAGTAAACAGTTCTGAGCGTGAAGAAATTAAATGAGGAATGTAGCATATGGTGCATTTATAGATTTTTTTCTGGATTTCAGGTTCTCAGGTAGGCAGAAGTGATAATATCCACACCTAGTGAGGTCAAGGGCTGGTCTTACACTCCCGAGAGCCAAATTTTCCCAGAATCTCTCTCAAATGAGTAATTAAACCCTTGGCCTGACAAAAGCCAGGCAGAGGCCTGACCGATGGAGTGCCCTGAGCATCGCCCGACAGCCGCCATGCCCTGAACAGCCGCCGTGCTGGTGGGAGGCAGGGAGCTCGGGGCACTCGTTGGTCAATGTTAAACAACCCCAAACTGCTGGTGTTTTGCAGAGAAAAAGGACGAGAAGGACCTGTGCAACGGGAAGCCAGCGAACGGCATGGTGGCCCTGCCCAACGGCACCCTGGCCGTCTTCAGAGGTAGGCTGGCCACCTGACCCCCTCAGCCATGCCCTGAGAGCAGGAGCCGGGACAGGCCGGAGGGGGATCCTCCTTTCTCCCCTGTCTGTCCGTCCGTCCGTCCATCCACACGCGTTTCACCGTGTCTCCTCCCACCACACAGGTCACTACTACTGGCTGCTGAACGGCAGGAACCCGCCAACCACCAACCCCCGCCGGATCAGCGACGGCTGGGGCATCCCGTCCCCCATCGACGCCGTCTTCTCGAGGTGCAACTGCGATGGCAAGACCTTCTTCATCAAGGTGAGGAGCCTTCCCGGTGGGGAGCAAGCCCAGAGGGCCTGTGGGGCAGGTCAGTTTGGAAAAAGGGGTCGGGTTGAAAATGCAGCACCCCAAAGAGGAGCCCTGTGCGATCCGGGGCTGCCTTGCTTGTTCTGGAGAACAAATACAGTGTGGTGGGTTGGAAACCCCATGGGGGAAGCAAACCATCTCATTCCCCAGCCCTCCCCCTGCCTGGAGATGGTGCTGCTCAGGAACAACCTCAGTTGAGTGTTTTTTCTCCTGCAGTTGGCTAGGAGACAAAGCACTGACAGAATAACTGATCATCAAGAAATACTTACGTACAAGCCACGCTTCAAAAAACCCACCTCTTGAAAATACGGGTATTTTTCATCGTGTCTTTCCCTTGCCCAAACACGGCCTAACTTTGTTCCCAAGACATTTCTATGCCTGAAAAAAGATGATAGTGAAGCGCAAACTCCTCATTAAAGACATTATACAGTTATTTCCCAATTAACCATGCAGTCCTGGAGTTTAAGCAGCTTTTTCTAAGTGTGAAAATTTAGAGATTTAGAAGGCAAACCGCTTTGTTCAGTAACTGCTCTTACCAGTTTGTTTCTCAGAGACTCTGTCCCTGCTCCAAGGTGCTGTTAAGAGACCACAGAAGGTGTTTTTAAAAAGTTGTAATCTTTTTTCCCTGTTTAATGGCTGTAGGAGGAGTGGTTCCTGTCGATTTTGCCATGCAGTGTTACCATTATTTTTCAGGTCTGTGTTCAAGCTGAATTACCAAGAATGAATTCCCTCTAAAGCTCTTCCCTTCCTTACACCCTTAGGGTCCCCTGTACTGGCGTTTCACTAACGGCGTTATGGATAAAGGGTACCCCAAACCTCTTGCAAACGGATTCGCAGGGCTAAGTGGGAAAATAGCAGCAACCCTCCCCGTGGCAAGATACAACAACAGACCAGAATCTGTTTATTTTATCAAAAAAGGTATGGCTTGTATTTCAGAAGTTCACAGGTGATCAAAAGGTGCTTGAACTGCCTTAGTCAGGAATAAAACAGTTTCTCTTGACTGAAAGACATAATTCTTTCAAAAAGAGAAACCTAAGTTATGGCAGAGTGTGCTGGGTGGTCAGAAAATACCCTCAAGCTTTAGAAGTCTGTATCAGTACTTACAGATCTTTAAGTGCATTTTAAATTAGACTGGACCATAAGGGACAGAATCCAGCATTGTAGCAGACAAACATTAAAATTTAAGTGTTATCTGGTGGGGAAACTGTTTTAGTCTCAAGTTAATTACAGAAGGGAAGGCTTTAGTCTCAATAGTTTGTAACTATGTAGGAAATCTCCCTCCCCATTTCTTATTTTAAATGAATGTCATTTCTTTATCTTGTATGAATTATACACTGCCAACATAGGAATTGTTACCTGAATTTAAAAAGCAGAGCTTGACGAAATGCAAATCCTTTTCTGGACTCCAGCCCTCTTCTCATGCAGCCTGAAATGATGGTCTTACCCTCTCCTTGATAAATAAGAACAATGGCAGCAAAAGCAGTTCCCCTGGAACTGTACTTACAACTGGCATGAGCCTGCAGGAGGTATCACCACATGGAGAAGCACGACTTGGATTCAGAGAGAGAGGCTTTTTTTAAATCTCAAAATGTAGGAAGAGATAAAAAGCTGAATGCTGCCATGGCTGTAGATGTATGAAAACAATGCTGTTGATTTCCTGCATGTGACATGGGTGTCAATGACGTTTTCATATCTGATCTGACTGGTGTGGGTAGGTTTTTTTGTTTTTCTTTAATCAAATGACACAAGTGTCTGTTTTAGATGGCAACATGCAGCAATACGTGTACAGACAAGAACCAGCCAAGAAATGTCAAAGAAGAGCCCAGGTTACCATCAGATACCCAGCTTATGTCCCAAGACTCATCATAAGGAGACGCTTCCCACGTGCAGTCAGAATGCCAACCGTTATTCAGACTGTCAGAATCAACCCATATCCATCTGGTAACTTATATTTATTAAGTTTCTTTTACACAACTGTTTTAATCTTTGTAGTTTCTGAAACACAACATTCTGTTCCATTTTTTATTTAAAAATATAGTGCTTTGAAAATTCTTTAATCCAAGCAAACAATAGCTTACAGCAGACAGGCTTGCGACACCTCTGAACTTCAGATCTCTTTTGCTTGCAGGAGTTCTGCGTAAGGAAATCAAAATGACTGCCTACTGGAGAGGGCTCCCCAAAGTTATCCACTCAACTCTGTCGCTACCCAACCACAATAAGCCCGACGGCTACGATTATTACGCCTTCTCTTACAGTAAGTTAAAGCTAATGCCAGATCCTACATAGCTCAAGACTAGGGGATGGGGAAGAAAGCAGCTCGTGTACCTCTCAGCTTTCCTTAGCGTGAGGTTATCACTTGTGGTTCTGCAAGGCTCAATTCAAGCACTACTAAAAAGTCCTGAGAATTAAAATGTTGCCTGTAATTGAGAGATGTTTCTATTAAAAATAATAAATCAATAGTTACAGGACAACTAGCAGCAACAAGGTACAATGGTTCAAGCTGGCCAGTTGCGGAATGCATCGCCCTAAGAGTTCAGGCTCGTAAAGTGATTAAAAACCTGCTGCTGAAATGCAGAATTATATTAATGATAGATTGAAATCCTTGGACCACTACACATTGGTAGTTTTTTCACTGACTTCCATGGAACTGTTTCTGACAAAACAAAAAAAAAAAAGGGAGGGATATGAGTAATTCTGCTTCACAGAAAAAAAAATACTTGTGATTCCAGCTTAGGTAGATCCTTCCCCTCCAGCCAGGATCATGTAAAAGCATTCCTCAGGATTTTCTCGATAATTCAGGAAAAAAACTGAATTAAGAACTGGCTGTATCCAAATACAGGACACTAAAGTAAGTCCCTGCCAGTATGATCTCATTCCTAACTTCAACATAGGCCAGTTCACAATCGGGAACCACACAGCTCTCACTGTTGTAGTCAGTACAGGATTGTTTCTAGTTTGTTTGATTTCCAAATTCTTAAGATTATTTCTGTGTTCTACCAGTGTAGAGTATTCTTCCCTGCTCCCTGCTCTTGGGACAGATTGAATTATTAGCAGTACTGTAAAACTTAGCTAAACACAGAGAAGGATATGTAAAAAATAAAGTTGAGGACAAAAATTCATTGCTACAGCCGCTCAACTCCATATACGTATGTGAACTGGAACATCTGTTCTTCATGCCTAAATGAAATTACAAAGGCTTTACCTTCAGGATGCTCTCCACGTACTAAATGTAGTTTCTGGAACTTAATTCTGGTGTATCTCCATTTCAGATCGGTACTACAGTTTGGACATTGGCAAAAGAATAGCAAGACCTGTCACCGCTCTCACAGGAAAGACTGTATCCAAAGACTGGTACAACTGTCCTAGCAAGTGATGCACAGCAGAGGATTTAAAAGAAAAGATGCCATTTCCATGTTGACGTTTTGTCTAATTTTATTAATAAAGACACTGAAATGTGGGCACACAAATCTAACTATAAAATGCTGCTTTAACCTCTGGCTTCAAGACACTAAAGCAACCACAGGCAAACTGGCGCTTTTGTATACACAGCTGTCATTACTTTACAGATGGTTTAACTAATATTTCCTCTGTTCAGGCCTCCTCTGCCTCCCATTGCATGAGTGACACCTGTGTTGGGAAAGAAAACAAATGCATTAATAGAAATCCTTTTCAGCCTTTTCATCAACTGCTGGTACATGTGATACTTCATCCTTCGGTACAGAACTGCTGCTGCAGTGGAACACTTCCTTTCTGATCAAATTCCAGCTCCCTCTCCTCCCTAGAGCCTGGTGATACGGACACATGATACTTGTGCTGTTTAAAAGGACGTTGTTGACTTGTGACCCCGTCTCAGGCCCTGTGCCAAAACAAGTCCAGCATTCTTACTGCATTTGAGATCAGTTAGTCCCTCCCTTTTGTTATGAAAGAAATGGTGACAGACTAGGAAAATCTATCCTTGGTCCACCTCCTCGCCTTTTTTTTTTCCTTTAAAATACCAAGTGCCTGTACTTCAATGCTAGTATCAAGTCTTGTATGATATTAAAATAATGCCGAACTGAATACCATTAATCTAAGGGTTTTTCTTAATACAGAAGTTGCAAATATTTATTGTCATGTTTTAACTCTACACTGCATTACAAAAACCTGTACTACTTCCATAAACAGTGAGATAATAACTGCGATCCCTAGGTACCGAATGGGATACTGATACGTAATGTTAAACCCAAAGATTTCTAAACTTATGTCCTAACAGCATTGTTTTAAAATCTTCTTTTAAAACTTTGGTAAGTTATCATAGAATGGTTTGGGTTGGAAGAGACCTTAAAGCTCATCCAGTCCCAACCCCCCTGCCAGCAGCAGGGACACCTTCCACTAGACCAGGTTGCTCAAAGCCTCATCCAGCCTGGCCTGTTGAAGATCTACTGCACTTTATTCTCTCTCCACTGGTAAGAACCAAGGGCCACTTAAGAAGAGAGTTTCCCCACCTAAAAAATGCTCAGACTAACATACTAAACCAAACCTAGAGAGCTCTTCGGGCAACATACTGACAGCCAGGGCAGGATGCTGTATTATTTAACATCTTACAAGCAAACATGGGAGTATCAAGTAATACTTCATATATGGTCCTCACAGGAAGAAAGTCCTAAAAACACAGTTTTAGAGTCTGAATGTGAGCAACCACCACCACTTACCCCTCTGTCTGTTGAACTGCCGACCGCGAACACCAGTTCTCAATGTCGGTGGCTGAAGTCTGACACGTCGAAACGGCTTAGGCTGATTAGTGCTGGTGTCTGTGAAGAAGGGGACATGCAGGAAGGAACGTCTGTGTCTTGTACAGTTTCTCACAGTTTAAGTTTACATGATGTGATACACATTACGCTCTTAAATCTCCTTTAAAATGATCAAGGTGCACCCTTAGTTTTATTGTCATCATCTCCGATATAAATCAAAGCCTCAAACCAAGTGAGTTTGGGACTTCTTTCATTACCTATGCTAGGTGCTAAATTGGTGACTCAACAGTGATTTCTTGTTCTTTGATGAATGAAAGAAGATATTTTTTAAATCTGACATCAAACATGTCACAGAATCACCAAAGGATCAGTAACTTTTGATCCTTGAAGCCTTTTCTTACTATGGCCTACACTAATTATAATTACTGTGGTCCCAGTAAAAACTGTTTGCCATTAAGGCTACAGGCATCAAAATGTGACCCTGCTGTAAGAGTTCTATCTTATTTTGTGCATCTTGGCTATCAGGAGTACATGATGCTGGTCCAAAAAAAGTTCCCTCACACAATGAAATGGTATGACACAACTGTTTCCAGCAATTAACCCATACCTGCAGATGAACTAGAAGGAGGATCTTGACTAGTCGAAGGAAGATCTGACTCATCAGATGCTTGAACAGATTCTTCTTCTTGCTGGCTATCGATTTCTAGGCCTGCTTCTGAAGTAATTCTAGAAGAGAAGGAAGGGGAGGAAAAACATGTAAGTCTACTCACAAAGTCACAAAAAGGTCAGGGAAAAAAAACCCAACATCATCATGGAGCAGAAAGATTCTTATGCAAATGTCTTTCCGCAGAAATTTTCACAGGTTTCATTCTGTTTTGTCTTGTTGCCCCTGCCCCAATCACAAGAGATTTATCTGGCTTTTAGCAAAATAACAGAGTCATTTCCTTGATATGCAGCCCAACTTCAGATGCATATCCGATATATTAATTGTGTTTCAGAGAAGTTCATAGAAGCTATTTAATAAATAACACTAACTATAAAACCATAATGTGACGGTGGTGTGTATGTTTAGGTAGAGGAAGAATGAAGTGGAGGGATCACCACTGACCCCTTATGCCTACAGATCACTCACTGGTGCAATACCCAAGTTATTTGGACTCTTTCTTGAAAAGACAAAAACTAAAAGGTATTATAAGGTTGGAAAAAAAAAAATAATCCACCTTCAATTGAGTTTAAAACCTACCAAGCTAAAAGCCTGTTCCAAATTACAGACTGTTGTGTGAACCACCTAGTTCCTCTATGAATTGACTTCTAATCACTAAAGATTAGATGGTTTTGTAAGAAACAAATTGGAGACCTCAACATTAGAACACCCATCCTACACTCTACCTACTTGTGGGCAGACTAGTGCAATCCAAGTTGGTGCTATAACAAGAAAACTGTGTGGCAAATTTAACTTGCAGCAGTAATATTTCATTTTCTTCTGACCAAACCTCCTGCAATCAGTAGATAAAAGCTGAGGTAAATTAGGAACTACACATCTTTTATTACTAAGCAACCAACAAAAATCAAAAGACAGTGTAAAATGACAACCTATCCCCGTTTAGATTTTTAATGTAATTGATCATAATACAAAATACAGCAATGATTATAAATATTAAAAGTGGCACTTGTAAAGTGGAAGACAAAATCATTTGTCTATTGAATTCTTAAGAACTGCTTATTCCTCTCCCTTGTGCTCCATCTTTGGTACTTGCACTGCCTTCACTGAATGACTTCACTGTACAGGCTTGCTTTGTAACACGGAGTGATTTTCTCTAGTACCACACAGGAATGCTTCAGCCTTTATTCTGCAAACCCCAGCCCTTCAGACCGGGGCCTTTACCATCAGTATTTGACTACTACAGATCCCTTTGCATCCTGAAAAAATACAGACTTTTGCTTTTTTGGGGTTTTTTTTGGATGACTTTTATATTAGCTATGTTAGATCAGGAGAAAATCAGAAGCAAATCATTGGTTTGAGACAACAAGGTCAGATGGTGCTACTTCACAAAGCCCCTCAATCCTGTTTGAGCTGTCCTTCCTACCAGAACAGGTTAAACTGGGAATGAATCACAGGCACACTTGGATGAAAACAAATCATTAAAATTAACATGACATCTAGACTTAGTGACCCAAACAAGTCACACTTTACCCTTCTGATTCTGCCTCTGCAAAAACTTCGTCCCCGTCATCACCCGTGCCAGCCTCTGTAGTGGTGGACAGATTGCCAGTAGATGTTGTCACCATTGGAACAGACTGAGAAGCGTGCTCTGAAGCGTCAGCTGAGGCACTTTCAGTAAAAACTGTCACTGTACAGGAAAGGCAGATTAATAAACATCGAGTTAGTTTGAATTTCCTACAGAAAATCCGTGGAAATCTTCAGCACATTGGGAAAAGAGCTACTGGAACACTCCTGATGTAGTGATAAGCACTGTAACAACAATAATAGAATTCTTTTCTGGAAAGTCAAGGTTTTCAACCTTCAGCCTACAAATTTTTTGCCACTTACCTGGTGCTGCTACTTGTAAGGGTGTTGTGGGAACGCTACGACCACCTGATTCTTCCTCATGAGCAAGGAATAGTGGGGTTTCATACATTCCTAAACCTGCAACACAGAGTTTTAGTGACAATTAAAACAGCCAGCTAAAAAACAGGTTAACTGCTGTCTGTACACTTGATGAAATCCAGTGAGTTGTACTTAAATACGGAGAATTTTGTTGTTTGAAGTTGTTTTGACTTACTGTCAGAGCTAGAGTTTGGGGAAGGACTTTTCATACAGGCAGTTAATGACAAAACAAGGGGAAATGGGTTTAAGCTGAAAGAGGGGAGGTTTAGATGAGATATTAGGAAGAAGTTCTTCACTGTGAGGGTGGTCAGACACTGGAACAGGTTGCCCAATGAAGTTGTGGCTGCTCCTCCCTGGAGGTGTTGAAGGCCAGGCTGGATGAGGCTTTGAGCAACCTGGTCTAGTAGAAGGTGTCCCTGCTGCTGGCAGGGGGGTTGGAACTGGATGAGCTTTAAGGTTCCTTCCAGCCCAAACCAGTCTGTGATTCTAATTACAATTTATTGAATCGTAAAACCTCGATGAAAACTTTGCCACTTGTTTTACTTTCACCCCTTTCTTAGGCCTTTACTGAGCTGTGAGCTTCTTCAAAGAACAGCCCCCTGTTTGATGCCGACGGGGATGCAGGGGCAAGGGGCTGGCTCAGGACAACAGCAAAGACAACGCTGGACAAATTGCCTGGCCAGCTCTTAGCAGGTAAGGATATATCCCAAAGATTTCTTCACATTTGCTATTTTCCCTTATTATTTTACTACAGGAAAGCTACCATCAACAGTAAAACTAAAATTAGAAGCCACTCCTTCAATATTTCATTTCTCCTTAAATGAAGCTTCTTGTGCCAAGCAGGCAAGAAAAAATTTCAGCTTCTCTGGTTCACAAGCCTGTTGTTCCTGCCCATGGAAACATTCTACTTTTTAAACCACATTACAAATAGAAGTGCAGCAGCTTAAAGGAAACACAATTTTACTTTCCATTAGTGTCTCTCTGCTGACAATTATTTAGGAGTCACAGGTTTGCATGGTACTCGAAGTAGAACTG